AGTTTAAGAATAGACGGGAGACGTTAGAGGATGATCAGCGCAGCAGGAGACCTTTGACTTCCAGAACCGAAGAAATTATTGGAAAAGTGTGACAATTGATTAGATGTGATCGAAGAATGACCATCGTGGAATTGGAGCAAGACGGTGGTACTGTTACTGGCCAGTTCTACATTCAAGTTTTGCAGAGGTTGCGCGATGCGGTTTGGAGGAAGCAGCGTGACAAGTGGCAGGGACAGAGGTTTCTGCATCATGATAATGCACCAAGCCACACATCGCTTGTTGTGCAGCAATTCCTTGCCAAGAAAAACATTCCTGTCATCACTCAACCACCGTACTCTCCGGATCTCGCTCCGAGTGACTTTTGGCTGTTCCCTACTATGAAAATGGGCCTCAAGGGGACACGTTTCGCAACCATGGAGGACATCAAATCAAATGTGATGGCTGAGCTCTGGAAGATTCCAAAAGAAGCCTTCCACCACTGCTTCCAACAATGGCAGGATCAATGGAGCAAGTGTGTGTGTACGTGCAAGGGTCCTACTTTGAAGGTGATTAGGTAAGCGTTGCCGTATGTCTTATCATTAGAGTGCTATACCACCATTCCAGGAACTTTTTGACTGCCCCTCGTATGAGCAGCACACTGATCAATCAAAAGCAATATTTTGTGATTTTAAGCATGCCATTTTCTAACCAGGTGTGTGACGTAATATTCAAATATTTTGGCTGCATCCAATAATCTCTATTAGCTATATATTTGGCAGATAGCCTCCTGATATTCTTGCAGCAACATGGACTTTTATATTTTCCAGTTATTAGAGTGACAGTTTATCACTACCATCTTCATTGCTTGCATTGGAAGCATTATTCTGTTTGAAATATGTAGCCAGTCTGGATTCTAATTCCTCTGCTGGTAAACATTTTGATGAGTCCTACGGCATGCAGAACGGTACACACTGGATGAAACTTCCTTCAATTTCTTCACAGTTCTTAGATTTAGTGTGACTTTAGTGACTGAAAGTCTCAGCCATGCCGCCCGTTCAACATGTGTTCAATACGTGCACAAACTTGTTCTAAAATATTTATTTTATCACTTACTGTAAGTGATTTATGTTTTCCTTTATTATCCACGTTTCATGCCCTTGCTATGAAATTTGTCATGGTCTATCATAAAACTTGGAAAATCAAATAATTTTGCCTGGGCCCTTTTCTGTTAAATGCTGCACTTATGCAAACATAAAGGATGCTTTGTCAGACATGCAAGAGAGAAAATACACTTGATGAGTTACTATTATACTATGATGCATGATGTGCACAAGTCATTAGGACCATGGCAGAAAAATCTGTTCAGGCACACTAGGCCATAGTGAAGTAACACGGTACACATCCAAATCATATGTAGCCGTGCATCAGTCACTTGATACGTATTTTCAGACTGAACTATTTGTGACTGCTAACAAGGATGGTGGTCCCGTGTCTCAGCTAAGAACCTATGGGAACTAAAGTACAAAAAGTGAAATCAGGTAAATGTCCATACCCAAGACTAGAAAAATGAATTGCAAATTCATGGAAAATGTGAAGTTGCAGAAACATAAATTCCATTAAAGTTTAACATGTTACACACATTTGGCTAGGACCACACAGAAAGTGCATTAATTCACATAAAATGTAAATTCCAGGATAAAAGAATCAAAGTTTCACTGTATTAAGTAAGTTCATGTGTTTTCAAATCATCATGTTACACAGAATTGTTTTTTGAAATTCAAAGCATTGGTATACCATGTTAAAAGATGTGCTGTAATATTTTAATCAGTGTATAAAATGGCAGTTCTTAGCCAGTTTGTTTTCATATTTGTGAAATGATGTGAAAAAGAAATTCAGTAAAAGAAAATATCAAGCAATTAAATAAACATTCCAGATTGGGCCCACCATCTGAAAGCTCCTTTCCATTTTGTTTCTTTACTTTCACAACACTGTAAAGTGGCATCTCAGAAAATGCAAAGTGACAGCATTTTGAAATATGGCATCAGGATTATAGCTAAGAGCATGAGCTCTGTAGAAAATATCATGACAATATCTATAAAGGCTCAGAAAACTTTAGCAGATGACAGAATACATTTCCACAACGCAAAATATACTTGAAAGTCATAAATAAAAATTCACAAAATGTTCCCAGAACATACAGACATTACTAACCCACATGACTGTTTCTCTTTCAGTAAACAGAACGAATATGATAAATATGAGGTTGTGGTACATGTGTGAAAAAGGACAACTAAGCAACAATACAAAACAGTAAACATGTTAACAGCCTAATGTAAAAATGTTCATCTGACAAGGCAATGACCAGCCTAGGAGACAACTGTTGAATTAAGTGGGGCAAGCCAAGGCCTCAGGTACAGCACCAAAACTGGGATCACTGTGCTGCATTAATAATGTATTAATGATACAGGAAAGATGTAAGAAAGAAATATGGATTAAGTGAAACTGTACTATTTGAATCAGGATTTAAAGAGGGAGTTCATCCAGTCTGCATAGGAAGTGGGATGGTCTCAGGTCCAGTGAGTACCAAACCCAACTGACTCACACTTTAACGAGGCTTGGAGCACAACTTTTCCTGGTTGGAGCCAATCCTTTTGGAGGGAGCATGCTACTAACCTTACTGACATGGGTGCATCTTCATGATTAATTTTATATTTCACTTAACTAACCTGTATTAAAAAAAACTGCTGAAAGTGGTGTCCATCGACATCAAAACACAACTGGCACTGGCATAAGAAACTGTGGAACATTACTTGCAGCTTATGTCCCATAATATTTGCATATATTAGAGTCATAATTTAATTCTGGAAGACTACTAGAGTATATGGTTTGTTTCTCTGTGCTTTTGCTTTAACTTTTCCCACATGTAACAATCACACACATTCAAATCTGGCAAACAAGGCAGCCATAACACCCCACCTAATTACAAAAATTCTATAAAGGTCGTCCACAGAATACTGTGATGTTACCCTCTGGGAGATACACATATCACTTCTCTTCTTCAGTGGGCATCTGAAAGAACAGTTCAAAAATACTGTTCATATAATGCTCCAAGTTCATCGTGCCATAAAAAATATAGGCCCAGTTATTCTCCAACCACTAACTGAACATCACATACCCATTTTTTGGTCATGTACAGGGACTTCATAAATTGCGTGGGGATTTTTGGTGTCTCACTGACAGGTGTTCTGAGCATTCACAAAACCACTAAAAAGACACCAGATTCCATCACTCTTGAAAATAAACTCTGGATTGATAATTCTATCATGGACAGACAGTAACATCCCATGACTAACGTTTATGCATGCAAATGGATCTGCAGCAATCAACTTCTATGACCCTAACATCTTTAAGGATTTAAGGATAAATCCTAAGGGCTTTGAGACATCTTAAAACCAAACTTTTTGATATGTCACATTCATGTCCTAGCCAACATGATTTTTTCACACTCATTTCCATTCTCATTCAAATGTCAAATCTCCATAATGTGAAAGCATGCTCTGAGCATAATTTCTTTTTATCATGAACAGAATTTGCTTCTTTCCACCTGTCAAAAAATTTCAGAATAGTTTTTTTAATGGTCACATGGCCCCTAAATAATGCTGGCAAAACTTATGTACAGCTGGTAAGCCTTCTTCACTAGAAGAAATGTGTTGACAAGTAATACACATTGTTCTGGGTACCTAACCATCCCTAAGTCATGTCCGTTCAATATGAGGAACTGCTTTTAATGACTAGACCTGTGTCAAGTAACAGTGTGGGTACAAAGAAAGCAAGCTTCTGTTATGACTGCATGATTCATGGTTAAAACATAGCGTGCACTTGCATCTCAAGTTCTGTACAATGCTACCTGGCATATACATTTGTTCTGGAAAGAAAAAGTTATGCAGAATGTCGAATTAAAGCATGGGCCCCTTACGTTGGTTGTCAATGTAGGATAGCATGCCCAAAATTACATCCCACTACAAGCACTTCGCAGTGTAAACAATTTTTGTAAAGCACCAATTGTACAAAATATCTCTGCCAATACATTATCAGTTAACATAATTTTCATCATCTTTTAACAGCAATGTGAAAACTTTTCTGGCCCACAGACTGAATAGCCCATCACATAATTCTGAAAACTATTGTTCCATAATGCATTATTTGCTACCATAAATTTTCAGTTATATTATCACTTCTTACAATCATCATTTATCTGGATTAAAATTACTGTATTTCATGGTTTTATTTACAACGCACACATGCATGTGTCAATATAATAACACTTATCTTCCTTCTTCCAGCTTTATTCTCTGATGCTACAAAGAGAAAGTTGTATGACATTTCAACTGCAATGTCATCGAAGAATGTGACTGACTTATTCAGTGACTTGGAAACCTTTTTGCTTATAACACATTCACAATATATTCTGTGGCTCACCTGGCAGCTCCACGTTGCTTTGAATTACTGGAGCACAAAAGAAACTGAAGAAGCAACTGCTAACATGTATCAGTAATTTTAATTTCCTCCTTAACTACATCTGTTATTCTGTTTTTACTAAATACCATATTAGTATTCATTTAAACAAGTATTTATGTATAAAATATTGATTTATATCAAGTGAATGATCAGTGATGTAGGTGGGTGAGGAAAACTATGAAAACTAATATCAAATGGCAACAAGTGTTCATAACATGAATGCTCCACTATCTGCATGAACGAACATAACAGCATCAAAGCTTATGAGACAACTGTTGCCATTTTTGTGTACGAATTAACAAATTATACAGTGATCCAAACATATATGTTCTGAAGCATAGAAATTTAAAGACATTTGGCCATTCAGATGTAAGTATGAAATAATCCCATTTCAAAGGAAAGACAGATGATGATGAGTAATTCTATTTGCATCCTCTTAAATTTATAACCTGCACAGAAAAAAATGTTGATAATTACTAAGTAGAGGGCATCCATGTATGTACCTGAGGAGATGGTGGATCTGTTTGCTTTTCTGCAGGTTCATCAAAGGGAGTAACTTGGAAGTCCAAAGTTGGGCGTTCTTTCCTCTCAAGAACTGCATAACCAGCATCAGCCGCACCAACTGATTTTGATGATGGAAGCACATTAGAAACTAGAGCCAAATTCTGACGAGCATTGTCCTTCTTCTGATTCAATGTTTTGGCCCATCGTTCCATATCCTACAAAACATACAGGCGCAGTAAATTTTATACTCTCTGTAGTACACTCCTATCACTACTACTATTTTCCATGTAAAAAATTCACTGACCTTTGCTATTTTCTTCGCCACTTTCACCTTGTCTTGTCTGTCTTTCTCTTTTGGCTTCTTTCCTTCATCTTTCCCAGCTGCAGATTCCTCTGATGATACTGGTGCAGGAAGATAAGTTTGCTTTTCTGAATCCCAGTAAAGAAACTGCTGGGTTTGAGGATTGTAATAGTACTGAGAACTAGCATCATAATACAAACCAGTCTGTGGATCATAATAGTAACCTGAAGTCTCATCATACTGGTAAGTGCTGACATCTGGAACATCTGGAAGCAACCATTAAGCAAGTTTGTATTTCAATTAAAATATATTTGAAGTCTTAAAAAAATTCTTTGAGATCTATGATACATTCTGTACAATGAAGGCATTATATTTTATAAACCTGTAGAAGTATGATGACCACTTGTCATCTGAGACTGACACCATGCAGTTTAGAAGAAAATTATAAATATTAAGAATTATCTTAGGTACTCACAGCAGTGGTTATGAACAGTCTTATCTTCTGGAATGTAACACCGTGTAGTCTGCTGAAAGTCAACCTATATTTCAGAGGGACATGTCGCCTCCATTTTTAGGGCTGAAGCGTAAGCCAATCGAGAAACCAGCATGAAGCAGGTAGCAAGCACTCTAGGTAGGCAGGCAAGCAGTGACCTTGCTACCTGCTTCATGCTGGTTTCTTGCTTGGCTTATTCTTTGGTCCTGAAGATGGAAGTGACATGTTCTTACAGCATTATATCCCAGAAGATATAACTCTTACAAATATTCTTCTACACAGTCACATTCTGCCTTTATATTCACTAATGACAGAACACAGAAAACGTGTCTACAGCAAACCATGATCAATGACCCTGCCCGTTATGAAGCTTTCAAAATTGCACTTCTGGTATGAATGCATTCTGCTCACTTGTTCCACCATCAGAGCATAAACTGGGAACATTAACATTTTAACCAATAAGGCCAACTGCTGCTACTGCCCGACTTTGGTTACAAGGAAAAATGCATGATATTAAGCACTGTAACTGATATTCCTACACTGTATTCTTATATCACAACACCAAAATAAAAATACAGATTTCTCTGTAACAAAAATAATTTAATTTCTTCTGTACCTGGAACAACACTGTCTACACAATCACCTCCTTCTTAGGTGGAAATGGACAATCAGGCTCACTGATGGGAACAAAGTCTTTCTCACCAAACAGGACTACAATCTGTTTCATTGCTTATTCTGTCCAGTAATCAGCTTCTGGATACTTGCAATTCTTTCAGTCTTCCATTTATATTTTGAATTACTTGCATGGTAACGTTTTGTATTCCATCACCATTTTATGCTACTCTGGCTTTACCATTGTCCTAACTAATTCAACTTCAGTGACAGCAATCTTAATGGTGTCATAACTGTGCTTTGAAAAACTGGGGTGTGCACACTGACTCAAAACAATTTTAGGCAGTTCATTTTTTCTTTTCCTCCTCATAGCCTACATGATTTGTCTCTAGCCACTCCTGAATGTCTCATTTCATTAAGTCAAATTCAAAAATCTATTACTGTGGGCGGAACAGTAAAGTGCACTGTTGAACACTAACAGGTAGCTTGGTGGAAGAATGGGTATATAGTGTAATGAATCAGATCAAAGCACTGCCAAGCAATGGCTCAGTAAATACTTCCCAACATGCAACAATATGAGGGAAACTGTGCTTTCTATGTGGTCTGTGCCAAGCAACAATAGGAACCGGGTTCTCTGTTACCAGTTGATAGGTTATGCAAAGGTCCTCACAATAGAACTGTCTTTTCTGTGTGGTCAGTGCTGCAGCTATATAACAAGCTTCCCAGAATAGCCACAGCAGTAAAGAGAATTAGACTGGAGAGCTGATAGTCAGGTGTCGGTAGGACACAGCCATGGAAGTTCATAGTTGAAGAATAATTGAAGTTGGCCTGTGAAGGCTTTATGCATGCTGTAGCACAGTGAGATTGGGAGTGTGTGATTAAGTGAGACTTTTATGGGTCCTGTGTAAAATCCACTGACAGGAAGCGGATAGTGAAAACACTGTCAAAACTTAGTCATTGCTGAGATCTGTTACCTAACAACAACCAGTGCAAACAGATACAGAAGACTTAATTTCTACCATAACTGCTGGAGGCAGTGTAATAGGGGGCTAGATGCAAGATTTCCAGAGTTGCGGTAGAAAAATATGATCGTGAGTTACACAGGACCCAGAACTAAGAATGAATGTGTTGGCAACCGCAAACAGCAATTCACCAGACTGACCAACTAAGGCAGGACCATGGTTAGCAGTCAGCTGCAGCATGCAGAAACCTGAGAGTTGGAAAACTTAATTACTGAGCCATTGCATAGCAATGACCTTCTCAACACCACTTCTCTGACAGCACTATTTCAGCTTTCAGGCAACATGCCACATGTGTTCACATAGCGTTGTAATGGCTGTCTCTTCTGGCTCCACCATTCCAGCTTTTGCGAGCTCTGGGGACGCACAGACACACAAGCAGCAAGGTGATCTCATAAGCCTTTCATTTTTCCAAAATAAGGAAAGTAGGCTAAAAAATAACATTAATAGACATTCATGATGTGTTACCATGTGTGATGCAAGGAATTCCATACAAATCTTAGTTTCCTTCTAAATATTCTTTTCATGGTCCTCTATAATATCTTGTTGCATATGTATCACCTCTGGTGACAAACAATTCAATAAGCTTGTTGTTATTTGTCACCCCATCAACCTTTCTGTCACTGTTCTGGCTACATGAAAGTGACTTAGTACTTGGAACTGCACCAGCATTAGTGACAATCAGTGCTGGACGCAAGTCTTTCCTCTCTTCCCCCTCCCACTTCTGCCCATTCTCTCCCCCCCCCCTTCTAGTCAACAAATGTTATATCTAATCTGTTTGCCTTGAAGTGAAGGAAACTGCAGCAGAGAGTTTGCAAGGAGCACAATGCAGAAGACAAAAGAACTCTACTCAAAACCAGCTATAATACTTCATTCTTAGCAATTTCTTTTTTTCTTTTCTTTTTTTAAGAACCTGAGTACATCTTGCTTCTGTCAAAAGAGATGACTCTTGATTTTTTCTTTTTATATTCTTCAGCCATTGGTGGTGGAAATCTGTTCAGGGGGGTTGGCATGTAACTGAATGTGGTCAGAGAAGGCATCAAGCATTTGAATGTGAAAACTACCACCATTCTTCAATCATCAAAATACCAGAGTGGCAAATGTGCCTCCTTCACAAGATGCCAGCACCAACCGACATATCTATATGCACATTGCTCTTGTAGTTTACACAACTGTATCCAGTATTATTCATAATGAGTGTAAATATACACTGGTAACAGAATACTCATATCAGAACAAATAATTCTGGATCCCATGTTGTTCATTACAAGAACTTTACTTCTGAGCACAAATTACTGCAGTTCTAGATGGGCCACTCCTAGATTCACTCATGCTTGATTTAAAGCTCTGCCACAAATGCAGGATTAAGTTACTGCGGCATTCTAAGATACAGCAAAAATTAAACACCATACCGTCTCTATGGAAAAGCTGAAACTACATATTGAGAAGACAGAATAGTTCCAAAAAGTCAATTCTTGGTCCAGCGACATATTATGTGGGACTGTAAGCTAAAGCCAAACGGTTGAACTAGAAACCAATCTCTTCTCAGAAACTGTTTGTGTTTACAGGAAAACTATTTTTTTCTTTCAAGATCACTAACAGTTTTTAATGTAGGGACTTCGTATCAATTGCACAACTACTGTTAACTGTTTGCCTGATTACAAATAAAACAAATTCATGAAATCTTATTTTGTTAAACCTGGGAATATGACTGTTACTAGTTGACTTTGTGTCAAATAATACTTCTCATGTTAGTTTCTTTTATTTTTTCAAATAGTGACTCATGATTTTCCAGTTGGTGCTATGGCCATGCCTGCTGCATATTCAGTTGGGTATTTCAAACTTCCACTTCACTTTCAACAGTAAGTTTGTTAACAGCTTCATAAACAGCAACTCTGCTGCTGGCTTACCTACAAGTCCAGCCATTTTTCACAGTACAGTTAGCATTATTTCACACTAAAGAAAAGAGTGCCAATCTACATAGATCAAAGGGATCCCATGCATCATCCAGAGAAGAAACAAAGGTATATGATCAAAGTGTATTCTGTAAAACAAATACTTTTTGTCATTGCATCTTACTATCCAATGTAGGTCAGATATGGCATTCTGGATAAAGCATCACTAAACAACCAATTTGGATATGGGAGTGAAAGGGTTAACAATATCTTGGCCATCAATGATTTCACTATTATCTGCATTAAAGATAATATTTATAATGTATTCCAATTAAAATTACTGCATACACAGCAGAAGTAGGCACAACATTGGATGGCAAATAACTAACATCATATGCCAACCACTGCAAGTTTTCCTTCCCTTACCATGAGACCTTAATTTACTTTGCATATTCTCCATATTTAAAGTTAACAATAGCAAGTAACAGTGTCTTTCAATAAATCATGAGAGAAAATTACATTTCAAACCCAGCCTTCACAGACTTTAACAAAAGCTGGTGAGCTTGTGGACTCAACAGAAAACAGTATTCTTGAAAAACTTTGGCACTCTATATCTTGAAGTTTTTGTGGATCTGGGTGGCAATTTCATAAAAAAATGCACTTTTTGAATGCCAGCTCCATTAAAAATTATCATAATATTTATTCTGTTCAAGTCACAAACCTCATATGGGGCTTGTTTAAAAGCCAGTAACACACTGTTTTCCCACAGACTACTCTGATTCAGCATCGCCTAATGTTACCTTTGAACTTCAATTCTTATAAAATGTAAATCTTCTGCAAAAAAAATTGTAATTCATAATGTTTGGTGTAATACACAGCTAAACATCATCCTAAAAAAGCTATAGCTCTCTTGCAATAAAACAATAAACACATACAATCTACAAAACAGATAACTCTGGAACAATATTTATCACAACACAGAGATGCATTCCATAACAAGTTGGTTTCCAAGATTCAATCTCTTCGGAAATGTGTTTGTCAACTTGTTTCCTAGCAATGGATCTACGTGTCACATTGCTACCTCCTTAAGGCTATTCATCCCAAAGAGCCTGCAGGTTTACCGCCTTTTCTTCTTCTGAGGGCTGTGCTTGGTGGCTCTTTCATGTGGTGACTTCTCTCCAACCACTCTCACTCCTCCCCCCTTAAGGTTCCAATCTGTCCAGGCATTCAACCATTATCTCTTTTAT